TGCTTTTCGGAGTTCAATATCTACAACACATGATCAACGTCATTTTTGGCGTGATTAATTTTTCACATCTTGACTACAAATCGACATTACCTGTGCATTCCTTTTCTCTCTGAATCTATTTGGCATTAAAAAGCAATTACCATGGGTGCATATTATTTCTTCGTAGCCAGTTTAAACATTTCCTAGGTCTATATAATTTTTTCAGGGGCAAAACTTTGTAGAAAGTTTTTACAAGGAAACCCCTCCCTCTTTTTGACGTTATTTTCAAGCAATATTTGTTTGCATGCTCCTTGGAAAATTTATGATAAAAGTTCATGGAACTTCCAGAATGAGGTAAAAAATCCACATTTTATGAAACAGTAGTGTCCCAACGCATACCTGAATTAACGGGATTTTTGGATGTCAAATGTTCATATCAAAATATTTTTTCTCGGTTACACTTAGGTAAAAAGAAACCAAAAAACAAAACGTCGTTTTCGAGGTTGCGCCGCCTGGACATACTATTACTTACAAAAACGTTACTAATTTATTAAAAAATAAAATTTCTGTTTTGCGGTTTTTATTATAGATAGAAAAGATGATGCTCACTAGATATAACAAAATTCATTAATGTACCTAAAGCGGTTTAAATTTTATGGCGCTAGTCCACGAACTTTTTGATACCCCCTCGTAGTGACCCGTTGTCATGTATAATTATGTTTTTTATGTTTTTTAAGTAATCAGCACTTAGGAAAAGAACCAATGAATAAATGTTTAAGAATGGAACAAATAAGAAGTTAGATTCTCACGTAATGCGAAAAGAAACACCTTGGTGCAATGCATAATATATTAAACAGATTAACAAATAGGATTATTCAAAACTAAAGACCAGAAAAAGACAGAATAATGAGCGGCTTATTCTCATTCAGCATACTTTTTTGTATGCAACATATGTAGATGACAAACATTATTCATGATCAAAAGTCCATAAAGAAAAACAAAATAGGAGCAAAGCAAACACGGACATCAGAACATCAGAGATGGGATCAAGTGCCAAGCATCCCCTGCCGACCGGTCACACCCGCCGTGTGCTCCTCGTCAAGATCGAGAAATAACGGAAAAAATCCGTCGTCAATTCAGATTATAAATTATGGAATAACAATTAGTATGAAAAACGTCAATCAGCATTTGACTCAATGATAAATTGTATTTGCTGATAAGGCCATTGTATCGACCTAAAAACGTATGAAATATGACTTTAAACAAGACTGCTGGTATACTTGTTTCATCAACTTGTGGGTCCACAATTTACCTCGTTTTCGAAATAAGTGTAGCGTATATAATCAACTTAGATATATAAATTCCGTATGCAGGTGGTGAAGGTATGCTGTATTGCTGCAAAAGTAAGGGAGGTTGACGATTGAAAAGTTAAAGTCATCATGTTTATCATATAGTTTTGTTGTTAGATTACCACTGACGTCTTGCTACAAGCTTTTTTTTTTATTTAATAGAGAAGGATTAGAAATGCTTATCCATTCACGTAAACTGTCTATTAAACTTTGCATTTATTTTTTTACATATTAAGCCATGCAAAGCTTCTCATACCAAAATATAAATGGTTCGCAAAATATCTTTCTTATTAATTATAGGTATTACAGAGCAGCTGAAATAAAAAAGTGAAGGATGTGGTTAAGATCATGATTATAAATTGCCATTTTATGACGAGTCGTTCACATAAATGTCAAAAACAATTAACTCCGAATCTCGTTAAGTCTTTATGGAGAAAACAATTTATGCATTCATTCACAAATTGTTTCGTATTACCTTTATATCTCACTGATGATTGGATGAAAAAAAAATCAAACCTAACTAATCATTTTTCCAAAGTCTTCCAATCTATACATACATGATCTCATGATTATCAAACAGATAAAGACTTCAGATCAAAATATATAACTTTGAAACAGGTATCAGTTGCTTATATATATTTTACTGTACACTTATTTTAAGTTTGTAAACAGCAACAAATTGATGATGCAAGTAAGGAGTTTTTTTTCATTTAAGAGGCATGGTAACTAGATCAGTTTTAACATTTTGGTTTAAACATCAAACAATGAGATATTTCTAACGATTTATGTATGTGCAAATTTACACATACATACGCTCGCAAGCTTTAGATTAGTGAAATGAATATATTTTTATCTTAAAAAATTAACCTACCAGTAAAATTTGATTGACTACATCAATATACAAAGAACTATATGCGGTGTATTGCATATTTTTGCCCCCAGAAAAGTCATATTTTGAAAATTTCTTGAAATGTGCTTAATTGTATATATTGCATGAGAAATCTAAATTAACAAAAAAATTTTAACGTTTCAAAGTATGCTATTTACATTTTCTCTTTTTATGACGTCACAAACTATTCGGATTTGGTATTTATTTTCAGAAAGAGGAAAACATACATAATCTGGTAAATTTTTACTATAAATTTTATAGAGCACAGGTCTGCTCAGGGACAATATTTACATATTTCATTGATATCATCATTCTACAGACTATATTAAAATATACTGAGCTTGAGAACACCTGCGCTCGGTGACTTAAACTCAAAATATCGAGATAATATACACCTTTTTCTGTAGAAATCATGAAAATTTTAAATTTTCTTCATTTTACTGAAGTCATATCAAACATATGACGTCATGACGTATGAAAATATTCATTACTTTGACGTCTGCAGATATCTCCCTGTTTCAAAACATAATTATGTAATTCTCTGTCAAAGTTTCAATTTGAGGTGAAATATTTGCCATTACCGCATAAAGTCCTTTGGAGAGTTTTTAAATGCCATATAAAAAATGAAGTAATATGCCATTTATCGAAAAGTATCCGATGCATTGTAAATTATAATGATAAACAATGAAATCGACGATTCCACATACTGATAGAAAAAACCTAAGAAGAATAAAGTCAACATTAAAATTGAAATTTCTGAAAAAAAAATAATGACAAGTTTTACTTGAGCACGAATCCTTCTGTTAAAGTCTATATAAAAGATTGACAACTTTGAAAATTTGCAGATTTCTAAATTTCAGATGAAACGACGAAAGTTCACTTAAAATCAATATTCGCGACTCTTTTATCAAAAGTTTATGATGAGAGGCGGCAACGTTAAAAACATTAATTCCTCAGCTTTAATATAGAAACAAGTAAAACCACAAGAACGCTTGGGTTTATTGAATGTCCATTGCTTGTAGTTGTCCAACAAAAGGTATGGCCCGATGCATTGATAACTCACTCAACATTTTTATACGATAGAATCTTAGAAAAGTAAAAGTAAGGTTTTAGTTACTTAAAGATTGTTTGTTTGTATGTTGCTTAACGTCTCATTCAAGAAACTTTCACTTAAGCAGAGACGACACTGGTGAAGGGCTTCCGATTTTGACCTTAACGCAGGCACTGTCAGGGATATTTATCGTGCAAACACCGGTACCTACTGCGACTCGGGCCTCGATTTTTAAGGTCTCATCTGAAGGACCCACAACTTTCACTTCAAAGTGCCAAGCACATGACGAAGGAAGAAACATACTCTCGATTATAAATTATTTGTACTTTATATAGTTTTTAAAACTTAGGGAGAAATGGTACATGTTAACTTATATTATGAGATTCGATCTTTATGTTTTGTTTTTCAATTTTGGAATAATCAAAGCATATGTGTATAAAAAAATGTGCTGAACATCAACTAAACAATTATTAACAACAACTTAGAAACACTTTCATTTTAATTTTTAATCATACAATTTCTCATCTTATGGAACAGTTACTTGTACTTCCATAATCTTGTCAAAATCTGCAAAGAAAAAAATGAAATTTATTCAAAGTAAATTAGGACGCAATGTATGATGTAATCTTACTCAAATAATGAAAAGACGGAATTTAAAAAAAACGAGAAAAAAAAACCAATGCTCAATTTCAAACAGAACTGTATACAATATAAATCTGTAACGAGGACACAAAACCCAGATTCCTGCAAATACAGATGTGGAATGGCTTGCCTTGGAGAAAAAAGCATTCCCTGTTGGCAGATTAATATTGCCTGATATAGTTATCAGGACGAGGGAATATTTTGTATTTAAATTCAAATTCAGTATAAAAACAAAGTGAAGATCTCAAAATTTGTATGTTAAAAAGCAAGTCAATCAATAATACGACTTAATTATAAGTTAGGTTGATATCAATTAAAAATTAACAAAAGAATTTTGAAAAATTAGGTTGCTGATTCACTTTAAGATAAACTGACATTTGTCAGTGTTCTGTCCCGAACAAAAAACAAAGAATCAATGATCAATCTTAAATATGTGGAAATAATTATCCAAGTTTAGATCAGGTGCCTAAGTGGACAAAGTATTCCCTGTCATGCGCACTTAATGTCCTAATCAAAGATTGATGAAGGTCACAGAACATTCTTAATTACTCAAACTAAGAATCATAGCAAAGACTTTTTAATTGATATAAAAGATATAAAAGAGACATATTGAAATTTAGACTCAATAATAGCATTTAATTACTTGTAACACCCTTAGATGTATTAAAAAAATGATTTGGCGAATTTCTAAGAATGAAAGCATAATAATGTATCTTTTAAATAAGAATAAAAACCTTGTTATCTTTAAATATATAAGAACGGGGTGAAGACTTATCATCAATGTGTATATACATAGAAATAATAAGAGTATAAAACCAAAATACAAAAATTCCATCATTTTTTTTATACATGTATTATAGAGCAAGAAATATTTGGCGATGTCTTATAAATAGAAAATAAGTATCTTAAACAAAAAGATATACTAAATATAATTTCAAAGTAGTGAAAGTCCTTGAACAGAAATACTTTTTTGAAAAAATAATCAAAAGCATTGTTCAAGCATATTGAATCAAAATAAACAGTGCTGAAAGTGAAAAATCAAAACGTCACCTCTATTTTTACCAAGACATAATAAATCTTTACCTTATGTCGATATAATATCCTCTCTTGTCTAAAGTGAGATCCATTTTTTTTTACCAGTGATGTGTGTCAAAATAGCTGGGGTAATAATGGTGGTAGTCTAGCAAAACATAAAATAATATTAAAAAAACACCTCCAATCAGCCTGCAAAACTTGTAAAGTTAACAAGAAAAAAATGTAGGTGTTTTGTTGACAGTCATTAGGACCGTACGTAAGTTTTTGTTTATAGATCAATCAGTAAATACATTGAAACCTGACTATGATCTTTTATAAATTTAAAAACGAAGTATAACTTAAAAATCAAAACAGTAAAAAATACTTTTACCTCGCCATCACAGAGGTATCTCTGGGAGAGAGAGAGAGAGAGAGAGAGAGAGAGAGAGAGAGAGAGAGAGAGAGAGAGAGAGAGAGAGAGAGAGAGAGAGAGAGAGAGAGAGAGAGAGAGAGAGATACAAGTATATCCGTAGATTATACTTCCCTTACTTCTTTTACAAAAAGATTATCTCTCTTACCAGGAAGCCATTTTTCTTTTTTAAATAAATGAAGAAAGAAAGAAACGGTCTTACCATAGTGATGTCCGTAGGAGTAAGGATATCTGTAGTGACTGTAATAATCGTCATAGTCGTGATAATCGTGAGGATAAGACGATACAGCCACGACAAGGAGAGCGATGATCAGGACGATGACCTTCATCTTTGTTGAACCCTTTTTAAAAAAAATGATTGCAAGGCTTATACCAATTTTTGTTTCATTGTTACATGTATGTAGAAAATGGTATAAAAAAAGGTAACTTTTTTTTCAAAATAAAATTAATTTTTCTGCTTTAAAAAAGAAAAAGATTTGTTGCGTAACTATCACAGCTTGTGTGAAACAAATCTACTGAAAATAACTTGACGAGTATTACAAGGAAAATACTTTCAAGCATAAAAATATATATTCATTTCACAACAAATAGCTGTTTAATTCATTCCCTTTTTCTAAAATCTAGGAATATGTATTTTACAAATTAAATGTACACATCAAATGACAGATATTTTACCATTATAGAAAAAAGTCCTCCAACCATAAAATAGTAAGATTTTTTTTTTTTAATAATTTAATTTCATTAAAAAATATATATATTTACTCACCTTGGCTTATCAAACTGAATTCAAGAGTTGATTGGGATGAGCAGTATATTTTCTTCTGTATAACCTTCCTTTTTATAGTAAACACCTAAAAGCAATTTTTCAAAAGGGTAAGAAGCATGAACCTGTTAATCTTATAAGTTGACATTATTAATCAACGATCACACAGATTGTTACGTAATTTTCAATTGAAATGTATGAAAAATGCGTATCTTTCAGTACAATTCTGCCTTAAACTGGTATTAACTGGAATTTTCAGGGTCTGTGTTTTATATACTGCTAGTAGATTTACATTGTTTGTATATCTTCTTGAGATCAATCACTGTTCGTTTTCTTCCCGCCTTCTTCATTGAAATGTACAACTTTAAGTACTCGCATTTATAAGTACACATGTACTTGATCTTAAAAAAACTTTATCTATAGGCATAGTATTAAAAAACATGTTGTAGAAATTTTAGAATATCGAGATAATGATCTTACAAAATTGAATACTGTGAAGCCCCGGGTAATCTTGGATGAACAATATTCGTGGATACTCACATTAAAGGCTACATTCAAAATTGACAGGCAAATAAGAAAGGAAAAAAATAAATTGACCAAAATTTAAGAATCCTTCTCAAGGATAAGATTAGAAATTTTTTTTCATCATTTAGGCTTATTTTTTTTAAAATGCTCTAATAAACTGGAGTTCAGTTTTATAGTAACAAAATGCAAAGATTGTGAGGGTTAAGATTTTCAAATGAAAATCTATATAGTAAATACCTAGAAACATAGAATACTTGATACCTAGAAATACTATTCGCAGTTCTACCGGCACCTCCCCTACGCGGTCTACGATTTTATTTTCGTCTTGATTTTATACAAGTACTACAGAATGTCTGACTACCCTTACATTTATTTTAATTTAAAGTGGTGCTTTAACGCTGGAGTCACAGGATTTCCTTTGAATACTCAAAGTAGAAATAATGATGCACAAATGTACAAGATTAAAGAAAGTTAATTGAACCTTATTATGAAACGTAATTTTAAAAAAATCAGTATATGTGTTATCTTTTCTTTATAAAACTATCCATGCAAATAAAATAATTATTTTTTTCTTTTAACATTTTTTATACACAAATACATCTATATTTTAGATAATTATGTGCATTTATTTCACAACGCAGAACATGTGATCCAGATAATTGTGTAAATTAATTGTTTAATAATTACAAAAGTGCTAAAGATTCTTCATATACAAGTACTGTTGACATGCCGCGAGAAAAAAAATTACATCCGGTTTTGTAAAGCTTGTGCACCTAAAATTTGCCTGGCGCCGGCCGCCTTTTATAGCCTTAAAATACTTTAAGAAAGTATGCAGTAAACTGAAATTAATATAAAAGAACAGCAGCCCTTAATGTTTTCATAGGTACGAAGTTAGGAACGACTATAGACCTAGAAAAAGTTGGACACTTTAAAATTTTTATATATATTTATCTTATAATTTTCGATATGACTACGGTGTTTTTTTAAGTTTTATTTGTTTTAGATATAATGCTTGTACAGCGCCTCAGGATTTTAATATATAGGGCGCTTTATAAATGTTAAAAAGTAATTATAATAATATTAAAAAAGTAATACATGTACTTTCAGGTTTACAGTTTTGTTGATTTTGTCAACAAGGCCTCAACAAGTCAGTTGTGAAAGATTTTATTTTTGCAGCTAGACAGTATGATTATTAACTTTCATTAATACTTGTTTCCTTTTGAATGTTTAAAAAGATACTGATTTTTTAATAAGATTTGCTGATACATGTAAGTTTTATATAGTTTTCAATAATGATAATTGTAAACATGTTTTTACGACGTATGTAGAGATTTATCTATATCTTTGAGTTCTAGAAAGATAAAGGAAAGAGAAAGATAACTCTAAGAAAAAATAGAATCCAAGGGTATGAACTCTTTTTTTTAATCGTGAAACTTCATTTATTTTAATTCGAAATTCGATTGAATAACTCAATGCATTCTCTGAAGTATTGAATAAGTTATCATGAGTATTGAATAACTTTGGAGATAGAAACCCAGACAAAGTAATTCAGTAAAAAAAACATTTCTGGAAAAACGTCTGAATGAAATGAAGTACCCACTACATAATGCTTGAGAATATATTTTTGAAATTTGTACATCTCTTTGAAAAAGTCGATTTTTTCCTCTTACAATTAAGTTTGAAGATTGGAAGGTTTCTAAAAACTCTCAAATTCAAAGGTTAGGAATATCCACTTTTGTGCGTAATGTTGAAATGTTTACAAATACTTCTCATATTTTGTCAAATTTTCAAGACTTTTATTAGCAGTGTCTATTTTTTTTACATGTGTAATGTATTAAAATATTAGAATAACAATATCTTGTTGTATGATTGAATTATTCGCATCTTTCTTATTGGCTGAGATCCAAATATATGAAAGAAATACTACGTTATATTTACCTGCCTGTTCCGGCTCGGTGAATATTGTATCCTCAGATGACGAAATCATTGTATTGACCACACACCAAAAAAAAAAAAAAAAAAAAACCCAGTTATAATTGTATATTATTTTTCTCATGAGAATCAAGCGCTGTTTTGATAAAAATATCTTTTGACGTAAAATATTTTTTAAAAAATATGATAACAAAAGCGTTCGATATATAAAAAAAATTCTACAAACAAAACTAATATATCAAGATAATAAAAAAAGGCCCCTGGATGTTAAATTCATCAAGTCAGCTGTCCACGAGAAATAAGCATCCTTTGTAGGCTGGCCCGCATGCTTAGAATACTATCTTTGCCCTAAACAAAACACAACATGTTATTATTTATTAATAAATTAGACATTTTAAATACTGTAAAATCACATTTTTTTGGGAGTCAAATTTTCAAGGTTTGAGGAAAAATATTGGTCTGTGGGGATTTCATTTCGTAGTTGAAGAATGTTTTAGTAGTAATGTATATTAAATTTTGTATTTCGTGGTGGCCATAAATTCATGGGTCTCTCCAAGCCTAAAAAACAACGAAAAATTAACCACTCCCCACGAAAATTAGTGATTTCACAGTATATCAGATCAAAATTGATCATTTCAGCAATGTGTATTGTTACTCTCTCAAAAAAATTAAAGCAACATGTATTGTTGTCTCTCACAAAAATTATATCATTACATTATATATGAGGCCTTGTAGCATTTTGAACAAAATGGTTGCACAAGTTTAAAGAGCAGTAACTTTGTGAAATAGGACTTAACCATTGAATGTAGTTTCACGTTCATTTTTGTTTTATATTTTATATAGAGACGTCACCATATATCGGTGAAGGGCTTCAAAATTTGATATTTCCTGGGCTCTCAACGCCATTGAGTAGTGAGGGATCTTTATCTTACCAACGCCTGTCGCGACATGGGGCCCTTGTTTTTAAGGTCTCATCCGAAGGACTGGCAACTTTCACTTCAACGTGGTAAGTACATGTTGACAGAACAGTTGCTACCTATTTTTCGACTTCTGTGAATCAATGCAGATATTCTCATGACTTTGGGCCTTCCTAACACGGAGCGAAGGCTCTACTGTCTGAGATATCGTGACGGTGTGAAATCAAGTGTGTGGAGTTTGGTGTGAAATAGGAAATAAATACCTCATCAAGTCCTATTAAGGCTGTAAGGGGAACTACATGTACCCTTTCTTTCTAAGGGGTTTGTATAATTTTCTACTTTAAACATATGGTAATTTTGCTTTGTTATCAAATTTATTTAAAAAATTATATTGATTTGAAATTTTGATTTATGTATGTTTTCACTTTATTGTCTGTGAACCATATCAATCTTCGATACACAATTTTTTTAAATTTTATTATAAAAAATACCTTGGTACACCTTCAGAGTCATAAACTTTTACATCCTGTTTGAATGAATATAAAGACAAACAATAAATAATTAAGGGTTTCTAACTACTTTTATTATTCATTTCTGTGCAAACATAGCCATTCACATATTCGACGTGCATTGTCGCATTTCATGTCCACCTCCAAGCTTCTGGAAATGATAATGCATTATTTGAAAAAAAAGATTAAGTAACGTATTTAAAAAAAAACATGTCTATGTAATATACATTGTTTGATTTTGTCTGCAAATTCAATAACCGTAAAAATGAATATTACTTATACAAAAAAAATCTAAAAAATGTAACATCCTTCAAATTTAAAAAAGTCAACAAAGCTGGATATAACAATATATGCAAAAAAGTTTATTTTCTCTTAAAATGCGACAAAATTATAGAAATTATAGCTTATTACACAATAACACAGGAAAGTTTAGCAAATATTCTTTTTTCGTTATGAATATTGACACACTGGGTGTCTTCAAACTGATCTACAGGTATATAAAAAAAATCACAACCTCGACATACATGTGCTATGACACATTTAAGAATGTTATAAACTGTGAAACATACCCGCCATGTTTGCATCTATATCCGGGCTTTTGGTACTGTCCTCAGTAACGGCCATATCGGCTGCCGCTAAAGCTGCTATAGGGGTACCGGTTATAGCTACTGTACCTATTGTAGCCTCCGTATGGATATCGGTTGTAGTCATCGTAACGGTTTCCGTAGCCTGCAATCATTTGGAACATAATATGACTTTTTTTATATGAGAGCATGAAAAAAATCAAATAGAGCATATTGTTATATTGTTTCCTGAAAACCTATCTACCAATATCATAAGAAGACTAAGTATCATTATTTTGTGAGTCTTCTGCCACGTACCACACGTTACTTTTTCCATAAATTTATATACTTTTTATGAAATGTTTTTTTTGTCTTGAAAAGAAATTGAAAGAAATATTTATACATGCAATGTTAAATTTTCATTTTCCTAGTTATTCAAACTTTTCTGTCGGAATAAATGGTAATAATTGGTAAATGGTAGTCATAAGAAATCAGTAATAATCGAAGTAATAAGAAAAAGGTAGTAAATTTTTTCCCTATTCATTTCAAAGTGGGCAAGTGGACACTTCGATTATAATCAGATATGAACGTATCTTTTATCGATAGAAAACAACAATCATTAGCAGCTAAGAATTCTAAAAGTTTGATTAAAGGAAAAACAGTGTTTGCAAGAAAAAATAAAAGTACAAGAATTCTGTTTACCATAGTTGTCGTAGTTGTCATAGTAACCTCCATATCGTCTGTTGGGATAGTATCCGCTCCTGTATCCACCCCTGTAGTAGTCGTTATAGTAAGGATAGGCAGAGACTACAGCCAAACAAAGAAAGACAACCAAGACTAAAGCCTTCATCATGACTGAAGATCTGTAACAAAAAAATGCACCTGTTAATTTGTACAAAAGAAATAGAGAATGAATAGAATTATTCAAAACAAACAAAAATTCGAGATTATAGCATACAAAACGTAATGTCTAATCTGTTATATGTATTACGAAGTTATAAAATCGTACAAGAATCAGTTTGCCCTTTGTTAAGATTGCAGCAATAAAATAACCTTAAAATTTTCTTTTTCTTTTCTTTTCTTTTCTTTTTTTCTTTTTTTTTTTTTTGCAGATTTTTCAGACAAATTATCTTTAATTTAGGCGGAATATGATAAGAGATTATTTGAATTTTTTGAATGACGAAGAAATATATGGAGAAAACAATGCAATTAATTATCTTTGATTTTTTTTAAAGATATTAAAATTAGAAACAAACAGAGAATCCAGTTTTTTTATTTTAAAATTTCTTACGAAAGTATGTAATATTTCAACTTGGTATTTTGGTTGTTTGTTTGTCCGTTTAATTAACGTCCTATCATCAAAAGTACCGGTCCTACGTCCCTAATGGGATTGGAACCCGGGAATTAAAAAATCATTTCTTTACTGTAGACTGTAGAGTTAACATTCTAAGAACTGTTCAGCACGATTTGTTATCAATTCTAAATTTACAAGTTCTATGTAATTGACATTTTCACAGTCGTCTTTTTTCATATTAAACAGGAGCAATTTCTATTTTGGTTGTTCTATACTTTTTTATCTAGACATATAAAAATTGCTAAGGATATTTAATTCGTAAAATATATATATATAAAAACTATGTTCATCTGTGGAACAGATGCGTAATTTTATTTTTAAAAATCAACTAGAAAACACCGAAAATCTCAAAATCGTTTAAATCCGAATAATTTCAATTTTATCGAGACACAAATTTAGCAATTTATACCAAAATTTTGTACATGGTTATATATTTTTAATTCTTTTTTTTTTTTTGCAATTTCATAATGTCAAGAACAATATCAATAAAAACAGGAACAGTTTATAAGCGATAGTCAATTAAAGAGAAATCAAATCATTGCAAATAATTCTAATATGAAATCCTTACTAAAATATCTACGTTAATAGCAATAGAATATACTTACTGTTCGAGTGGAAACAGATGTCGGTAGGAAGCAAAGGAGTTGTACAGAGATCAGTTCTATAACACCTACTTTTATAACCAAAGATCAAGGGTCATTCTTCATGGATGCAAATAAGATGACCTGATTTGTCTTATCTAATCTCATCGATAATGAAAAAAGATCACCCACAATTCTTTAAAGTGAATACTTCTACAAGAAAATAAAAAACAATCTTCTATCATTTTTCCTACTTTAGTATTCATCGCAAAAATAGGAACACAGTAAGAATTAAGATGCATGGTTTAATTTGAAATTGTTTCTATTGTAACTGATAAACATAATCATTATCTAATTAAGTAGGCTTTATTTATTGCGTTTCTTAACCTTTTTTCGGAACGCAGTATTGTAAAGTTGAACGTAATTTAGAAAAAAATCATGCAGATTTTAATTTATGCAAGGAAAATGATTATTGTAATGGTCAATTATATGTTTATAAGATACATGTGAAAATTGACAATAATGGGACAAATCGAATAGAAAGAAAACAAGAATTCAATAATTCATTTCCCTAAGCGTCAAAAAGACAGAAATATGCATAAGAAAAACAAATAAAAAGAATATTTCTGACATTGGTATTTTTATGTTTTACACATATCTTTCCATTCCTTTCCAACAAATTATAGAAAAAGTAACCAAAGTTCTGCTTGAATAGAAAAAGGAGGTTAAAGGAATTATATTTTACAACACATTTTATTCAACAGAAAGCAATGGTGTTTCCTAAATTGATCATCACATTTTCATGTTTACGTAATAACAAATTGTATATGAGACGGCTTACTTGTAAAACTTAATCTATTGTAGTGTAGGACATATCTAATCTCTTATGGAGAAGAAACCTTTAATGAGTTTAACCCATTCTCTTTTCGCCATTTTCTAATGATGATAAATCATTGCTTACCAATTTAGGACATATGAACCCACTTTTCCTTTTTACAGTGTTGACCTTAAAAGTACGTTCTGTGCATTGTTTATTTCGAATGTTTACTCGTCCATTCTTATCTCCCTGTTTAGATGAGAGTTATTTGTGTGACATAACCGTTTTCACCACAATGCAATTAACATTGCCGATAGGCAATGAAATTTATTGAGATAAGGGACGGTATTCAAGCTCAAAAGTCCATTAAAATACACAATTGGAGCAGAGTATACACGGACCTTGAAAACATCAGAAGTGGAACCAGGAAAATTACGATTGAATAATGAAAATTTTTTTACTGAATATATAGCATAAAAGAAGTTAGGCATTCTTTTAAAAAAAAGTATTATTTTAAGGTGAACGACATAAAGAAAAGATGTTTTAAGGTTGAAATTAGAAAATCTGAACACAAATTTACTAGATTGGTTTTGCAATCAATAATATGCGATGTTATTCTAAACGAATCATCACATTTTGTATTAAGAAACAATTTAAAACATTATATTTTGTTTTAGTTTTTTGACAGTTGATCAAATTAAATGAAAGAGTGAAGATGAAGAAAAGTGATTTATCTAAACTTAGAACAAATCTTCAAACAATACGGACTCATGGGAATTCCAATGGCAAGATTCATTGCTTAAAAGGAATCAGTATCTCCTCCAAGACACCTGATCCCACCTCTGATGTTTTGGACGCCCTTGTTTGCTCTGCTCCTATTTTGTATTATTGTTTTTGACTTTTGAGCATGAATATTGTTTGTTATCCTTTTTTTTCCTTTAGAGCATTAAACGCGGTCTTGAATTGATCAGGTAGAAAACAGTTATTCCTTAGTCTAAATCAGTATAAAAGCAAATACCTTTCAATTGGAATGTACCAAAACAGTCATAATAAGAATATAATTTTTTGATGTTGCAAATTTGATCATAATAACAACCATGGAATTTACGTAATACTGTCTCTTAACGAGATTGTATAAATATATATTATTATAACAGTAACTTGATCCGAAGGGTCGTATCACGTCTCGTTGACAGGCGCGGATCATCAGATCTAACGAGACGCGAAGCGTCGAGTTTGATCTGATGATCCGCGCCTGTCAACGAGACGTGATACGGCTCTTTGAATCAAGTTACTGTTATGATGATGAATTTATTATATGCCCCCTCATAACTAGCAGAATAAAACTTTAGAGATCAATGGTTTAACATTTATCCATAAAACAAGGCAAATTAAAAAGGGACTTCTTAACGCGCAAGAAAAATAACGTCATGTTTCTGTGTACTACGTCATCAGTTTCAAAGAGTGCTGATATGGATTCAGAAAACCACAGTGTAATGATCCGGAAAGTCGGATCACGACGTCACGTGATAGCGTAAAATCAACAGTAAAATTGAGTGATACACATTAGGTATATAATAAATCACTATAACATAACTTTATCATCAGGAAACGACTTTTAAAAGTGATTGTACTTGGAGCACATACCCTTGAGTATCGCATACTTTGGACGATATTGATATCATAAGCAGTTGATAGTGGGATGATACATGTACTTAATAAAGAAGAAAACTAGCCGAAGGAAAAACTAAAATCATGTAGTTTGCCATTAGATGTAGTTGTTAGTTGCCTGTTTATATAAAGTCAGTAAAACATCCAATTTGAAACAGATGTGAAAGTATTTCAGATATCTTTAATTTAAAATATACTTGGGTATATCAAATCGACAAATAATTGAAAGTTCGTATTTTTAATTGAAAATACGTCGTCAATATATCTTATTGTCGAGTTGAAGGCCACAGTAAGTGATTGTTGATTTCTTCTAGTAGAAGTTTTTGGATATTACTCCATTAATAAGAAAAAACCCAAATAGTTTAGCTAGTAAATGAGCATGATAACTTTCCATTGCATTTTCAATGAATTGTTTGAAGAGCTGATAAAGAAAGAATAATCGTTATCATAAACATCTGTAAAAGATAATTGTTTCATTTTTTGCGCCTTTTTTGGAAAACATGTCGTACAAAGATTTTCAAGGTATTTGCGGTTTTTGTTTTTCAAACATTTTTTTCAAAACTTTGAACCATTCGTATACAGCAATTTTATGCCCAACAATAATTTTAAAATTTATATGTCTATATTGGATTCTAAGATTAAAAACGCTTCATCCATGTTTTTAATAACAATTGATAATTTCTTTATTGAACTTCTGGCTACTTTTTTAGACTTTAGATGTATTTATGTTAATAACTCTTATAAAAATATGAATCCAAATGATAGTTATACTCTTAAATTGAAAGAAAATAAATTTCAAATATGAATTAATATAACTGATTTTTATGCATTCTTAAATGTTACTCTACTTGTAAATCAATCAACTAGATAAAAATATAAGTACCAAATGGTCAGTTTTGCTTTATATGTCATCCAAACTGACAGACTGGATTATTGTCAAGTATCCGCTTTGTTAGAGAAATCGGGAAGGGTAAACCTTATAAAATATCAATAATTTATTATCGTTATCCATCAACAAATGCCTTGGTATTTTTATTGAATTTTTTTATGTCCCTACTTTTGCAGAAACATTTTATAACTACCAGGTTGTGCTAAATAATGCATTTGACCGCTTAATGTTCCCTTTTTTTGGCCATATATGAGTGGTCGAATTACCTAATACAAATCCACGTATACTCTTTGATATAGATGATTTTTTTCTTTTTTCTGAAGTTTTTTTTCTTGTTTTTAAAATAGTAACAAGATTTATGAACGGATGAATGTAAAACACGTCCGTAAAAAATACAAATAAAACTATAGTACATAACAGAAAGTTTCAGAAATTCCAAGCAATTCCGAGGGGTGTGTCCATGCACCTTGCAGGAGTCA